GGGTATATTTTGACAACTTTCTGTAGGAAATTATTTTTACTTGGTGAGAATTATCCTTGGAGGAAGATGGTTTCAAATTGTAAAATTGAGATTCCTACCCCGACCCCTGGGGCCAGGGCGGGGCCCCAAAGGGAAAATTAACCAATATTTCAAAAATCTTCTTCTCCAGACTCAGAGGTACTACAGTGATTTTCTCTACGTGGAAAGAAAGATCATCAGGGGCTTTACTTAAATTGTAAATTTCAGGACCCCCGAGCTATCCGTTCTCCCTTGGGGAGGGGGTAAAGTTTACTATAGTTTATATAGGGAAATAACACTTTTGGGTATATTTTATCCATTTTCATCAGAAAATTACTCAAACATAGTCAGAATCATCTTTGGTGAATGAGAGTATTACTTTGTAAAATTGGGATTCCTGCCCCATCCCCAGGGGCTAGGGCGGGGCCCCAAAGGGAACATTTACCAATATTTTCAAATTCTTATCCTTTGATGACATGACAAGTATTGCATTTCACTTAGTTTACATGCTGATTTCCACATCACATCTGAACAATAAAATAAAGCTACCAGTACCTATGATATAACTCAGGTGACCGCTAACGCCCTTGGGCCTCTTGTTGTTGAAGTAACGTACTTCGTGACGTCAGGTTACAAGATAGGTGTTGAAAGTTTACACGTGACCTTAATTTGATACCATAATATTTAGGTACTTCATGTAACATGGTGGGAAAGATGACGTCATAATGATCTAAAACATAAAGATTAAAGCCAAGCTACATAAAATTGGGCGCCACTAATCCGGTTACCCCTCTCTTATATATCTGTACAGTATTTTAAAGGGACATGCTCTTTACGAAATTGTCCCAGTAATCTTGCTGGGAACTTGAAGGTTGCTGGATTATCTAAGCTCTTCTGTGTTTTTAACACTGTATAACAATCGCATATAATTGTAATGAAAAGTAGCCCAGCGTGAATAAAAAACACGAAAATAAATAATATTTATAAAAGGTGACTATCACAACAGCATGAGGACAGGTTGCTTCAATTTATAAGGTATCTGTCAATAAATAATATTTATAGTAACGAGACAATACTGGGATGTTGATTCCAGGTTAGACTGAATTATTCACTAAGGTCTAATTTTCCTAAGTGGTTTAAATATTTGGTAAGTTTGTGTAATTGGGTGGAAATGACAAGGTGTGCGGGTTTATCCAGGTTACAAACACAGCTAGTCATCAACTTTCTTGTAAACAACATGATCACCTGATAGGTTCGTGACATATCTGGTGTTCATTGTATCTTTTTCTATTTACGTTCTAGATAACATATTGAATAATTGACTGTCGGATAAGCAAAGGTCCATTTACACATTTTGTACATACATAATCACTTATTGTCAGATACCGTATATGATTATGTTACACACTTGGTGAATCAAAAGTGTACAAAAGTATAATGATTCCACCATACCTTGTAACTTTATCTGCACGTGAAACTGAAACTTATGTCCGGAATATAAGACATAGTTTAAGAAAATTATGGTTTTACACGAAGTGAATAGAGAGTACTGTTCTGATTGGTCAATACTAAAAGTGATATTTTTCACATGTGTAGACAAAAAGTTTCCTATATCTTCACTGTATTGATAATTTCTGATATGTCAAGAGTGAAAATGTAATAAAATGTGTTATTGAAGGGATATACACATCTACTCTGTGCTATATGTGCACTATTGGATATAGCTACAGATCCCTATAGCTAATTATCCAACAGCTCGCCAACAAAGGCCCATCAGTTTTGCGTCCTTGTTATAGCTAATAAGGGGCTGCTTCCAACTAGCAAAAAGTGCTATATTTTCCCAAAATGACAAAAAAATGAAGAATATCTTACAAATTTTAATGAATATAATGGTACATTTTCCAAATTCATGAAGGAACAGACTGTTGTAAAATTTAGGTAGAAAACAAATGTGTTGAACAATTGTCAAGGGTTTTTTTATGAACAATTGAATCCTAACAACCAGTAGAAGTGGTCAATTATACCATCACAATCAAAAGAATCTCCAGAAACAACTATACACCTTAGTCATCTGAAAACCACTTCACTATACCCAATAGATCCCAAAAAACAACTCTAAAATCGGCAGTCCCATTTCACCAGATGATTATAGAGGAATTATAAATTTAAGATGCAAGAATTGTTTCATTTTAGGTTTTAGCGTTTTTTGCATGTTATGCAGACATCTCTTAATGAATTCCTTATCAAACCTCCAATACTTATCTTAGATTTCCTACAGAACTTCCACTTCTGATCTAATAAAGGTAGCATGGTTTTAGTTATAGGCCATTAACACAGAACACATCTAATAGTATATAATAGTGACTTTTATCTACAAAATATGTTTGATCCCCGACCAAACGGAGCTGTCTGACTTTACTGTTGAAGTATGGGTGTATGAAGGCAGCACTGTTTGTATGATCAGTTATTTATTGAGAACAGGTGTGTTTAATCATGTGATACGAATATTGACAAACAATATTGGTACTGTGTAGGAGGCTTGTTAATTTAATGATTGACAGCTACACTCAGCCATTGAAAGTCTAGTTATCTTAATGATTTGTTATCTTACACTGTTGAAATGCAATTTTTGAGAAATATCTTCAGTTTTATAAATACTTTGTATTTTTTGTCATAAAATGATCCTTTTGAATACCTATACATCTAGTTTTAGTTTTTGGATTCCAGTATTTTTGAGAGTATATCAGGTAAAAGTATTGTGTTTAAATAGACGTTGAGCTTGTCAGGATCTGAACAGCAGGGGTTTAGTCTCTAAAAGGTTAAACATTTTACAAACTCATACCAGATCTGTTTTCAGAGTAACAGAAATTAATTTGATAAAAAATTATACATTTAATTTATAATCCCGATTCTGGTACCGGTAAATATAATCTTGTGTTTGATAAATGGTATTATTGGGTTCATGAAATATCATTATAGAGCTGTGTGTGGTACTCAGATGGGAACACATGTACATTGCGTTCAGTTTTAGCTATTATTTAACAATTCATATTTCCATTAGATAAAATTTTAATTTGATGTGGAAATGCCCTTCTATGCAGATCATGGCTCATTTATGAGAGTATAACTGTAGCTGCTATTTGTAGTGTATGAATACATAGCCTCAGCACTACTGCTATGACTGCATGACTATACACGTACGCCCTCAGAAAATAGTTTGTTAAAAAACAGTCAAAATGTGCATTTGCCAAAGTACTTGAATCAACGCTGATTCAATATGTTTCTTTTCTTAATTACAGTGAATCAGATATTTTGATTGTGTGTGGAAAACAATGTGTGACATCAGCTGTTTGTCTGTAGCTTTTCTAGTTGTTATCCTGGTCTCGATGATAGCAACACGTGATTTTAAATTGTAGGGAAAATAAGCAGTCCTCATTACAGGTTTTTTACGTAAAATTGAAAATATAAGCAATAAACCGCATAGATGTTGCAGACCTGGTATACCTGCAATATGTATCGAAGACAAACTTATCATGGTGCACTATCACGCACCATTCAGTCTGTCTGCAAGATTTTGTTGCAGTTATGCCGGTAGGTCTGTAACATTTATGGAGTTTGTGGCAGTTATGCTGGTAGGTCTGTAACATCTATGGAGTTTTTTACAGTTATGTTGGGAGGTCTGTAACATTTATGGAGTTTGCTACAGTTATGCTGGTAGGTCTGTACCATTTATGGAGTTTGTGGCAGTTATGCTGGTAGGGCTGTAACATTTATGGAGTTTGTGGCAATTATGCTGGTAGGTCTGTAACATCCATGGAGTTTGTTACAGTTATGCTGGGAGGTCTGTAACATCTATGGAGTTTGTTATAGTTATGCTGGTAGGTCTGTAACATTTATGGGGTTTGTGGCAGTTATGCTGGTAGGTCTGCAACATTTATGGAGTTTGTTACAGGTATGCTGGTAGGTCTGTAGCATCTATGGAGTTTGTTACAGTTATGTTGGTAGGTCTGTAACATTTATGTAGTTTGTTACAGTTATGCTGGTAGGTCTCTAACATCTATGGAGTTTGTTACAGATATGTTGGTAGGTCTGTAACATTTATGTAGTTTGTTACAGTTATGCTGGTAGGACTGTAACATCTATGGAGTTTGTTATAGTTATGCTGGTAGGTCTGTAACATCTATGGCGTTTGTTACAGTTATGCGGGTAGGTCTGTAACATCTATGGGGTTTGTTGCAGTTATGTTGGTAGGTCTGTAACATCTATGGCGTTTGTTACAGTTATGCGGGTAGGTCTGTAACATCTATGGGGTTTGTTGCAGTTATGTTGGTAGGTCTGTAACATCTATGGGGTTTGTTGCAGTTATGTTGGTAGGTCTGTAACATTTATGGAGTGTGTTACAGTTATGCTGGTAGGTCTCTAACATCTATGGAGTTTGTTACAGTTATGATGGTAGGTCTGTAACATTTATTGAGTTTGTGGCAGTTATGCTGGTATGTCTGTAACATTTATGGAGTTTGTTATAGTTATGCTGGTAGGTCTGTAACATCTATGGCGTTTGTTACAGTTATGCGGGTAGGTCTGTAACATCTATGGAGTTTTTTACAGTTATGTTGGGAGGTCTGTAACATTTATGGAGTTTCTTACAGTTATGCTGGTAGGTCTGTAGCATCTATGGAGTTTGTTACAGTTATGTTGGTAGGTCTGTAACATTTATGTAGTTTGTGGCAGTTATGCTGGTATGTCTGTAACATTTATGGAGTTTGTGGCAATTATGCTGGTAGGTCTGTAACATTTATGGAGTGTGTTACAGTTATGCTGGTAGGTCTCTAACATCTATGGAGTTTGTTACAGTTATGTTGGTAGGTCTGCAACATTTATGGAGTTTGTTACAGTTATGCTGGTAGGTCTGTAACATCTATGCTTACCAATTTTTATTTATTATTAAGTTGTTCAGGTTATGTATTGGACAGTGCATTCACCTTTCAGCAAAGTTGGTTGTACCGGGTTTAACATCCTATCAACAGCTAAGGTCATCTAAGGACGTTTTCAACAAGGTGGTCCGGGGTTCGATTCCTGAATAGACATGAAAAGGTATCGGGTCAACAGGTTTTTTCTGGTTACCCTCGTTTTAACTATCATATAAGACTGCTGCATGCTGTTCCTGATTGGCAAACAAGAGTGATTCATTTAAGTTTATATAACTTGTTTCATAATTGTTGTAAAATAAATAAATTTCATAAAAATCACAAATTCTTAACTGTAGCTACAAATCCTGTTGCATATATTTATATAATGGTACATGTATTTCATTTCAACGAGTGTTTTCTCCTGTAACTCCGGTTTCATCCCACACAAAGACCACCTGCATGCTATATATAGCTATCAGCTGGTCAAACAAGAGTGATTAATTGTTAAAAAAACCATAAAGTTTATAAGAAATAAAAATTATTAAATATTAAATGTAATGGGTACATGAAACCTGTAGTTACATACCTTGTTGTAATTAGATAGGTATTTCATTTTGACATCAATATATCTATCTATCTTGTATACTGTTCACAATCCTCTGGGAATTATTCCGAACAGGTGCAACTGTACATGCGTGGCAGCAGGTGAAGTGTGTATAGGTATATGCACAGTCAGGTTTGTGTATATAATAGAGACATAAATAGTCTTACCACATGGTTAACCTTCGAATCATTCTGGTAATATATTTATTGGAATGCCGAGTGCTTATTTAAGAGTAACATGTGTTAAAAAAATAAATGATTACAACCTGGGGTGTGCAATCATTTGAAGGGAATATATTATTTTCAAACTTAGTGTATATGCAACGGGGGAATTACATGTCTTTGTATGTCAGTAATAACCAATTTCAAGTAGAATTAAATATAATTTATATCTATGTAAGGATAAATTGCCTCACCAGAAGCCAAGCATTTTTCATAAGGGATGATGTAGGGGGTCGAGCCTTCAATGGGTTAGAGCAGAGGTTGTTTGGTTTGGGTGATTTTCATTTTGACAGTTTTACGTCCGTTATTACGGCCTTTCAGCAGACAAGAAAAGATAGAAAATATAAAATAGAAGGAGAGGGAACATTCTTTAGAATAAATAATTAAAATGAGAAAAATGTAATTCACCTCAAGATTTTGAGAACTGGTATATGCTGAGTGAGCAACACAGGGGCTTAGTTTATCATCAATGTCTAATTTAAGTAAGGCTTCACTATATATAAATGAAAATGACACTTAATTATATATAAAGTTTATATTTTATTAAGGTTCCTACTTACTTTCAGCAGTATTGCACTATTGGAGAGATATATAGGGCCTTGATATGTAAGTCCTGGTAGCAGGACACTAATCTATAGAAATATTTTATCTAGTGTATCTTCAAAAATATTTAAATTCAAAACTAATATTGGAGGTATCACGATATGAACAAGTTTGCTAGAAATTCAGCCTGAAGAAATACTAAAGCATTTATAAATTTTATGATATTTCTGAAAAAATGTGTTTGGAAATTGGTGTTAACAATTGGTTAGTACATTTGTTATGTATAAACTGTCCGTTAACTAATAGGCCCTACAATTGGGTAGTATAAACAGTCCATTAACTAATAGGCCCAACAATTGGGTAGTATAAACAGTCCGTTAACTAATAGGCCGCACAATTGGGTAGTATAAACAGTCCATTAACTAATAGCCCCAACAATTGGTTAGTATAAACAGTCCATTAACTAATAGGCCCAACAATTGGTTTGTTTAAACAGTCCATTAACTAATAGGCCCAACAATTGGGTAGTGTAAACAGTCCATTAACTAATAGGCCCAACAATTGGTTGGGTTAAACAGTCCATTAACTAATAGGCCCAACAATTGGGTAGTGTAAACAGTCCATTAACTAATAGGCCCAACAATTGGGTAGTGTAAACAGTCCATTAACTAATAGGCCCAACAATTGGTTTGTTTAAACAGTCCATTAACTAATAGGCCCAACAATTGGTTTAAACAGTCCATTAACTAATAGGCCAAACAATTGGGTAGTATAAACAGTCCGTTAACTAATAGGCCCAACAATTGGGTAGTATAAACAGTCCATTAACTAATAGTCTAACATTTGGTTGGTTTAAACAGTCCATTAACTAATAGGCCCAACAATTGGTTAGTATAAACAGTCCATTAACTAATAGTCTAACATTTGGTTGGTTTAAACAGTCCATTAACTAATAGGCCCAACAATTGGTTAGTATAAATAGTCCATTAACTAATAGGCCCAGGTTAATGTTCCTGTATTGAAGAGGTGAAGAACTTTCCACCAATACAGTGTACCACCAGTGACATCAAATTCAAAACAAAAAGAATAAAAAGTTTTTCAATTATTACACCTTTGGTTGATATATGGCAGATGATGATAAGTCTGAGACACTTTGACAGATGATTGAGTTTAGACACATAATCAAATGATTACGTTGAGTCATATAGATAGGTATGGAGTTTGAGCCTGATCAATAGATGAGTTACCTGGTATTTGAAATATACGGACATAAAATTGAGTTAAGGTATTGGGATTGTGTCACCATTTCTCAGTAGAATTTCTTCAATTTTTGAGGTTATTTTGCTTTGAAATAAGGAAAATGTTCTGCCCCCCAAAAAATATAGGTTGTCAGAATTTTAAGGATTTTAAATAGAAATTTATGTAAAAAGGAGTGAAATTTGAAGAAAAAAATGAAAGACACAATTTTTTGCAAAATAATGTCAATAAAAATGATACTGACAGATTAGTATTGCATTAATGTATATCAATTAAATAAATGCTGAAATTGTGTAAAGTTAATTATCTATAAACGATTTAAAATTGACATTTTATAATAAAACCATATACACATAGTAATTGCATGCAAGAGTTATCTTTCTTGAAAAACTTCACAGTAGTGTAATAGGTAGCCGGTTTCCTGAAGTACAGAAAAATGGACACCTGTGACTCATTGATTAAAAAACAACTGAATTAATGGCTGGATTGCTTTGAAATACTTTAATATTGAGAGAACACACTGTTCTGTCAATAATAAACATACAATATTCATCAGTTTATTATTAAACAGTATATGCTGAAATTGTGATACTGTCTCCCTACATTGGATTTTCAACTAGGGATGTATTTCCTATTTCTGTTTATCAATGCACTCCTATGCCCTTAAGAGGTACGCTTTAATGTCAATATTCTGCTATCGATAGTAAGTATACTGTGCAGTGGTAACTCCTGTACTCAAAGTCAATATCTTCAACTAAACATATTCATAAGTTAAATTGTAAATCATCAATGTGTATTGCTTCATTATAATAAATGATGACATGTAAATTAAGTGTTTGAACTATATCATGTTTTTAATGTAATACTACATATATATATATACTTTTATTTTCAAGAATGGTTTGAAATTTACTGTGAAGGTAAATATGAATTGTAAATCAAAAAATGTAATTTATGCAATCGTTTGTTCTAAATGTGGTGATTTTTACATCGGTCAAACCGGTAATGAACTCAGAACACGTATGACTGTACATAGACAACAAACTAGAACTGATTCTTTACGAAATCTTCATGTTAACAAACATATTCATGAATGTGCTGGAGATAAATTTAATGTATTACCTTTGTATCAACTATTTTCATCAGACACTATTTTAAGAGAAACGAAAGAAGACCAACTAATAAAAATATTAAAACCGAGTCTCAACAGGCCACAATAAAATTTTACGCCAAATTGTCCACCAATCTTGTGTACTTCGTGACGTCACGTTACTATTGTAGTGTGATGACATGTAATTGTGACGTCACGACGTTTTGAATAAACCTGAAGAGCCCTGTGAAGGGTGAAAGCAGCTAGTTTTTTAGTCGGTTCATTTTATTTTTTCTATATTTACTTCCTTCACATGGACATTTAATCACTTTTTATTATATATATATATAGATATATATATATAGCATTTCTAATTCTAATGCATTATGTATATAAATGTATACTGGCATTGTCTATGAGGTTCTGTTTATGCAATCTTCACATCGGAACAACAGATTAAAGTGAGTTCAATAATAATAATAATAAATGATATACAACATTTTTATAGCGCCCTATATAATTTGTAAAATTACTCTAAAGCACTTTACAACATATGGATAATAGTATCAATGAAGACACAGTATCAACATTTGTTTCAGGATCTGTTGTTTTACACAGAACCGATGTGTGAAAAAGACCATCAGGTCGGATTTGATAATACACTATAGCAGTCACCATTGTTTTGTAAGGTTTAAGTCAGAAAAGGCTATATTTAGATGTTAATTGTGCCAGGGAAACTGCCATCAGAGCAGGATATTAACAGGACTTTGTGCACGTGTCAAATCACATGATATAAAACAAACTAAGCTGTATACTGTATATTATATAGACAGAATGGTTATAAGAACAATTTGTACTACCAGAAATGTGACATTGAAGATAATGACATTGAAATAGAATCTAGATCTACTATGAAGATCTATTTCGATACTGCTGTAGCCCGAGTTTCCTCTGGCCCTAACACCAGACTTGGTGTGGGGCCAGAGTGCACTGCCATATTATGAAAATGTGGAATTCTCCGACACCGTTTGGTATCGGGGAGTGACTAATCAACAAAAAGACACGGTCAGAAAATCTTCTAAACAAGAGTAATATATATTCTGTTTTCAGTCTCTGTCAGGACGGTTTGTTGATTATTCACCCCATGACTTACAAAAATGGTGTTCGCTCAGGTGGGAAATGTTGTACGATTGAAAATCGAGGACTCTACTGACGGAATTTAGCAGCTGTTGTTGATAATAAGAGCTGATTTGGATCAGAAATCCAATATGGCCTTGCCACGGCCGACCATTTTGAAAAACTATTTCAAACTTAAAGTCAAGTTCTACAAGGCCCATTTAACTGAAACTTGGTAGGAATGATCGACTCATGGTCCTGGGATTTTTTTTTTTTTTTTCAGTTTGATCAAAAATCCAATATGGCCACAATGGCTGCCATTTTGGAAAAAAACTATTTCAAACTTAAGATCAAGTTCTAATA